CAGGCGGCACTTGCCGGTTACAGGAAAAAGGGCGAGGGTCACGGAGGACGTCGCGCAAAGTGCAGCGCGATACTCACAGGAGCGGCGAGGGGGTGGTGAGGTGTGCAGCCACGTCTGGCGCGGTGTCGTGTCGGGTGATATCGTGTCGCATCCGTCCCGCCAGCAGAGCGGTGGAGTGGGAACGTGAGATGGGCCGTCTGGGGGGCAGCAGAGGCAGTGCGGCGAACGTGTCTAGAGATGCCGTGCTATGCGACGATGGGTCCGGTGCGAGTATAGATCCAGGGCCAGGGACGGTGCCAGGGACGCGGGCGTCAGTGGTGGAGTTCTCGTGTGGTGAGAGGTGATGGGCGCATGGCCCTCTCCGAAGATCAGCGCAGGTTAGGGGGCCGTTTCGGTATCGCGCGAAAAGCTGCGTGGCTGGGCTGCCCAATCTATCCCGACTCCAACTCACGCTCAATATGCACCGCGCAGCAGAAGGACAACGCGCTCGACGGCTGATGAATTATGCTGCTCTCGGGCGGGCGCTCTCTGCAGTCTCTTGCGACCACGCTGACCTGCCTTGCTGATGCTTGCTGGCCGGATGACGATTCCAAATAATGCCCTTGCCCGTTCGGGCGTGCACGTGATGACAGAAATCTTGGCGGCGCGCTAGCTCGGCGCTCTACTTTTCTTCGACCGCGTCTCTGGTTTTCTCTCGACAACCACCTCACTCTGCATGTCTTGAAGACTGCAAACAACCACTGGCTTCGGACCGCTTCATGCGATTTCGCGAAGGCCCGAAGCCAGCCCTCCCTATAACGTAAGTCGACTCCTTTTTTCTTTGCTTTTGTGGAAAGATTATACCTTCAGCAACTTCTTTTCCTTACCGATTCGACCTTGAAGAAAACAGCGCTGTTCGGGTGCCCTTCGCCGGGCGCCTGCTACTTGCCAGTACTGTCGTCTGACCTCCATCACTACCGCGACCGTTTTAGCAATTTTTGCACGTCAGACTGCTAACATTGCTCAGTACAGTAACACTCGCTTACTCTCATCGCCGCGCACCTTTTTGCACTTTGCCGCCCCGTGCGCACTCGCAATAGATCGAGATTTTCACAACACTATACTAGTCCTGTGAGGACTGCACTGCTACACGTGCGCGCAATGCAGACTCAAACAGTCTTGCTGCGCAACGTCATGGGCATGCACACGTACGCGCGTCACTTGACTGCTAACACCAGCTACATGGCGTGTGTAGTATGATCAAAGGTCAGTCTCTCTTTTCTTCACACTCCTCCTCCCTTTGGGGATGATGAAACATTTCCACATTCGCAGTTTCCACGCTAGCCATCAATCGAACCTAAGACCGATGGACAATGAGCGCGAATACCTTCCTTGGATGTCTGACCACTCACCTACTCTGTCCCGTCATTGCTGAGATTTTCGCTTTGCAATTACTGACAAGTTCAAACAGATTTGCGATCACCGTTCCGCTGTGGTAGCGAGCACCTGGCTAGGCCCATTGGTCGGCGACACTGCTGGAAATGGTGGCATGTCTGGATCTAGATACTGTGACACGATATATAGCAAATGAATACCATGAGTTGCGAACATTACATTTCCATGTTCTTCCGTGAATCTCGCACTCTGTTCATAGCTGCTGAGCTCCGCCTAACCCCAGGATTCTGTCTACTTGGTACTTGATTTGACATGAAGACTTGTCCCGATGCGCAGTATGGAAACAAGCCCAGACTGCAACTCATGTTCAATTCATGCGAAATCGAGGCCGTCTGTCGCGATGGTGAAGCGCCAAGGCCGAGCCTCCAGCCAGCGTCATCTGTCGCATAGACGCTAAAGCATCCTGGTCAGAGCTTCCCCAACCCACTTGGACGGCCGACCTCTAACTTCGTCACCCAACGATCTCCGAGGCTACAGACCGACCGCGGCCCTCGATCTAACGCCGAGCAATACTACACCTCTCCGAACCGCTCACTACCGCCACGATGCCTGAAGTCGTCGACCCCCGCATGATCTCGGTGACGCCTAGGATACGATACAACACTATTGGAGGCGTCAACGGTCCATTGGTCATCCTCGACAATGTGCGTAGCTTGGGCCCATGAGACGGAGTGACAAGAAGCTTATACATGTGGTGGATAGGTCAAATTCCCGCGATACAACGAGATTGTGTCCTTGACTCTGCCCGATGGCACCGAGCGCTCTGGTCAGGTCCTTGAAGCTCGAGGTAAGCTACTCCAACCCTGATGGTGCGCCCAAACACTGACACAAGCTGTAGGCAACCGCGCCGTCGTCCAGGTAAATTGCGACATGCTCAACTCTCCCGGCAACTCGATCTAATTGCGACGCAGGTCTTCGAAGGCACATCTGGTATCGATGTTAAGAAGGTACTTACACCCAGTCCTCTATAAGAGAACTATATCTAACAGTCGCAGACCAAAGTCGAGTTCACCGGTCACAGCTTGAAGCTCGGTGTGTCCGAGGACATGCTGGGCCGTATCTTCGATGGTTCAGGAAAGCCTATCGACAAGGGCCCCAAGGTGCTCGCCGAGGACTACCTTGATATCAACGGTAGCCCCATCAACCCATACTCGCGAGTACGTACCTATTTCAATACCTGTCATTCATGCGACTGACAGTGTGTAGGTCTACCCCGAAGAAATGATCTCCACCGGTATCTCCGCCATCGACACGATGAACTCGATCGCCCGTGGACAGAAGATTCCCATCTTCTCCTCATCCGGTCTACCCCACAACGAAATCGCCGCGCAGATTTGCAGACAGGCTGGTCTTGTCGGAAAGCCCTCCAAGGGTGTACACGACGACCACGACGACAACTTCTCCATCGTCTTCGGTGCTATGGGTGTCAACTTGGAGACCAGTCGCTTCTTCACACGCGACTTCGAGGAGAACGGCAGTATGGAGCGTGTCACTCTGTTCCTCAACTTGGCAAACGACCCTACGTAAGTAAAACATGCATGCGCTACTGCTATCCTAGCTAACCCAGCGTAGCATCGAGCGTATCATTACTCCCCGTCTTGCTCTCACGACCGCCGAATACTACGCCTACCAGCTCGAGAAGCACGTCCTGGTCATTCTTACCGACTTGTCATCCTACTGCGATGCGCTACGTGAGGTCTCCGCTGCCCGAGAAGAAGTGCCCGGTCGTCGTGGTTACCCCGGTTACATGTACACGGATTTGTCGACTATCTACGAGCGTGCTGGACGTGTTGAGGGCCGTAACGGATCTATCACTCAGATTCCCATTCTGACTATGCCTAACGACGGTATGTACTGCGACTTATGTTACTCCGTGCTAAGCTAATTGCGCCAGATATCACACATCCCATCCCCGATTTGACCGGTTACATTACCGAGGGCCAGATCTTCATTGACCGTCAACTCGACAACAAGGGTATCTACCCTCCGATCAACGTCCTGCCATCCCTCTCCCGTCTCATGAAGTCTGCCATCGGTGAGGGCCGCACACGGAAGGACCACGGTGATGTCTCCAACCAGCTCTACGCCAAGTACGCCATTGGTCGTGACGCCGCCGCCATGAAGGCCGTCGTCGGAGAGGAGGCACTGTCCTCAGAAGACAAGCTATCGCTTGAGTTCCTCGAGAAGTTCGAGCGCTCCTTCATCGCCCAGGGTGCCTACGAGTCGCGTTCTATCCACGAATCTCTCGATCTCGCATGGTCGCTGCTCCGTATCTACCCCAAGGAACTCCTCAACCGTATCCCAGCCAAGGTGCTCGACCAATACTACCAGAGGAGTCGGGGCGGTGACGACGGTGACAAGAAGAAGGGCAGCAAGGATACCAAGGACAACTCGGGCGAGGGCCAGCAGGACGACAACTTGATCGATGTGTAAGCAAGATAGTTTAGCATGTGTATGTGTTTGGGATGGGGGATGGACTGCTTCTATGGCCATGTTCACTGAGCGGAATGTGGGTAGAGATACCGCATTGAGTATATATGAATTTGCCGAATTTTTAATCAAATGTGCTTGCTGTTTCGGGTGATGTGTTGTGGATGGGAGAAACGAAGTAGACATGTTCGCGCTGCTCGTTGATACGAAGATGGCGTAGACTTTGTTCATATCGTTTCACGTGTGTTATGTATACCTTGTAGTTCACTTCGCAACATGATGGTTATCGAGAACTACCTCCCCTTCACACTTCGTCTACAACATCGTCAGATCTGATCCAGAAGCCTACAACAATACGGAGCTCTGTCATATTGAGCACCATGTCCTAGCGAGGCGTCTACAAAGCCCGTCATACTATCCAGCATGCCACTCCCCAGCGAGGGGAGGAGCATACATCTATACTGCACTCTGCGCTTTACACCTCCAAATTGCATCGTCTCTCCCACGCTCACTTCGACTTTCCGCTCCTCCCCCGCACCATCCCATCTCCCTTCACCATGGAAACGCGCGCATCTTGCAAACGCTCTTGTTATGATTCCCGTTCACCGTGAAATTTTGCCGTGCCATGCCATGTTATAATACCTCCCCCGAGCTTGACTTTCCCCTCCTCTCCAGCAACAACAGCCAGCACCGTCTCCTCCGCGCCCACCCACCACCATTTCCGTGCCGCTGTTGCTGCCACTGTCGTCTCCTCGCTCTTGCTTTGCCTGCTCCCTGCCTCCCGTCGTCTCCTCGCTCACTTGTGGGCGTTGCTGCTGCCGCCATGGCGTACCCTGGGGCTAACAACCCGTTCGTCCTCCCGCTCGTCCTCCCAGGGGGGCCGCCACCGCTGCCACCACCACCAGTGTCGGCGCCTGGCCCGCGTTTTCTGGACGCGGCCACGCTGCCTGCAGCGTGGGGGAGGGCGGATTGGCAGAGGTATGTGATGTGTCTTTCTTTGGTCTTTTGCTGTTTTGTTTTTGGGCGTTTCTTGCGTGCGTGCGTGCGTGTTTTGGAGAGAGGGGAGTGTGGAGGGTGAGTATGTGGTTGGACGGAAAGAGCTCGACACTAGAGGTGAATGGGGGAACTGGAAAGCTATGAACGGCAAGAAAGAGGTGGATTTGAAGCTCAACGGATTTGGTATAGTTGGAAGCGGATGGAGGAAGAAGAAATGGTAAGTTTTGCTCTATAACTTAGAGAGCTTGAGACTGACGAATAGGTTGTTGCGAGCTGGAGCTGGATCGGAAGGATTTCAAAGTCGACTCCCAAATCATACCGCATGACACGGGTCTATCTCTTGAACTAGCGACAACACATCCAGAGGCAGACATCCACCCGACAAAGATAGGGCTTGATTCAAGATTGGGGCCAGGAGACCTCAGACACGAGAGCAGCTACTGCATCTAATGTCAAGTATAAGTCTGAAGTATACATACTGATTAATGGTACAGGGAGTTCGCCTATGGAATTGTTTTCCGGGACGGCATCGACCCCAAGGTCCAGGTGGGGATCCACAACGATCTGGCCAATCGTTGGGACCGAACCTCCGTCGTCGACCAGTTCGCCTTCGGACGGTGGGATGAGGCCCGTCTCCCCCAAGGGGCGACGGGAACCCAGGTGTACGTCAGAGAAGGCTGGCACCAGGAGTCGGAGCCTCATTTCACCGTGGAGCTGAGGTTTGTGTACGGCACCACGGGCGTGCACCGGCACTGGGCCACCGCCCACGTTTATTTGGACTTCTCGGAGTCCGTAATCAGAACGTGTGATAAGGTGGACGGCCGCCAGCGCTGGTGCTTCGTCAAGCCCCTCTGGGCCGAACACCACAGGGTGTGGGACGTAAGTGTCCTTTGTTACTGAAGACCATTTAGCAAACTGACTAACTTTGGCAAGTCGCGCGGACCGAGACCGGCGGTCTTACCACGGCCACCGAGGGGGATGAGATATGCCCCCAAGTATCCACCCGTCTGGAGGTAGGTGATTTCATCCCGTTCCAAGAGATCCCAAGTCACTTGCTCCATCTCCCTTTCCACACTTCGCTTGATAGATCCTTGGCAGGTCAAGCCATTGTATCAATTCTTCTTCTTCATTTCCGCATGCTAATCATCTTCACTACAGCGCAGCGGCTAGTCGCGACTACCTTTCCGTTCTGGACTTTCTCCCACCGCTATGGGAGACCTAGCTTCCTCGCTCGTATGTGTGTAGAACCCCCCAAACATCCCCCACATCCTCTTCCTCAATCCCTCAAACGGCTGCTCGCCAGGCCTTGGGTTCATCGGGTCCTTGCGGAAGTCGTGGAACAAGACACCGTAGACGACGATGAAACTGATCATGCTCCACTGCACCACCTTGGTCCACTTGTTCCATTCTGGCCGTATCGACTTCGCCTTGATGCGTCGCTTGAACTTGCGCTCGAACCGGAACTGCTGCTTCTCCGTCAGGGCGCGCAGGTTCGGCGGCCATTTCTTCTTGGCTGGGTACTTGTTGCGCGCGAAGTCGAACGGTGGGAGTGTGTTCTCGTGGCGGCCGAGGAGGCGGTTGATGAGGCGCAGCATGATCGCTGGCTTTGTCGGTTCGACGACGGCGACAGGGGTGTTCGATTGACTTGTGGATTCGCGGTGTTGTTCCTGAGGATACTCGACTGACGTTCTGTACAGTTAAGGCACCGACTAGACCGCCCCACAATTCGCGCGAACCGAAAAAAAGTGTGACTAACCCCGTCCGCACGCACTGGCCACCATCCTCCCACCACCCCTCCACAACACCACACTTTTGTTCTCGCGCTCTTTACCACTTCTTTTTACGACCGTTCTTCACTTTTCTGGAATTGTCGTGATGGCGGAGGCCACAAAACTCAGCGACGCGCCAAAGAGCGCTGTCGCCGCAACATTAGAGCAGCTCAAGCCGCAAGAGGCTGAGTCAAAGACACTCAAGATTGAGAACACCGAAAAGCGCGACACATTGATCGCCGAGGAGAAAAAGTACCAGAAGTCATGGGAAGAGCAGGGAGTCTTCAACCCCGACGCCCCATCTCTCGAAGATGAACCCTTTGACACCACCACACCGGATGAACTTCACGAGAAGTACCCCAAATGGTTCGGTTGCTTTGCATACCCATACATGAACGGCACGCTTCACGCCGGTCATGGTTTTACCGCTAGTAAAGTCGAGTTCACCGCTGGTTTCAGAAGGATGACTGGCGCGCGCGCTCTCTTCCCATTAGGTTACCATGTGACTGGTATGCCCATCAAGGCATGCGCAGACAAGCTGGTCCGCGAGGTCGAGATGTTCGGACAGAACTTCGAACGCTGCCCCGTTGAAGATGTTGTCGAGACTTCAGTGCCAGAGCCGCCAGCGCCAACACAGGCCGAGACTAAGACCGACATCACCAAGTTCAAGGCTACGAAAGGCAAGGCCAACGCCAAGACCGTCAAGACAAAGTACCAGTTCCAAATCATGCTCGCCCAGGGCATTCCTCTCGAGGAGATCCACAAGTTCTCTGATCCTTACCACTGGATCGAGTTCTTCCCTCCGCTAGCCAAGAAGGACCTCACAGCATTCGGAGCCAGGATAGACTGGAGACGTCAGTTCGTCACCACCGATGCGAACCCGTACTACGACAACTTTGTTGCTTGGCAGATGCGCAAGCTGAAAGCCCTGGGAAAGATCATCTTCGCAAAGCGTTACACTGTCTACAGTCCGAAGGATGGCCAAGCATGCATGGACCACGACAGACAGTCGGGAGAAGGTGTTACCGTTCAGGAGTACACCGCGCTCAAGATGAAGGTTGTAAAGTGGGCAGATTCCGCAAAGGCTCATGCTGGTGCCGTCCCCGAAGGCGCTTCTTGCTACTTCGTTCCAGCCACGCTCCGCCCAGAAACCATGTACGGCCAGACCTCATGTTTCGTAGGACCTGCAATCAACTACTCCCTAGTCAAGATCACCGACACCGAATACTACGTCCTCAGCGAGAGAGCCGCAAGGAACATGGCATACCAAGGCACCACTGCCAAGTGGGGCGAGTACTCCATCGTTGCTACCTTCCCCGGTAAGGATGTTGTCGGTACTGTCGTCAACGCCCCTCTTTCCGTTCACAAGGATGTTTACATCCTTCCTATGGAGACCGTTAAGGACACCAAGGGTACGGCTGTCGTCACATGTGTTCCATCAGACTCACCAGATGACTACATCACCTCATTTGATCTTGCCAAGAAGGCCGAGTACTACGGTATTCAGAAGGAATGGGTCAAGTTCGACGATCTCTTGCCTATTATTGAAACTCCCTCATACGGTAACCTTACTGCGAAACGCCTGGTAGAGGAGATGAAGATTCAGTCACCCAAGGACTCTGCAAAGCTTGCTGATGCCAAGGAGAAGGCTTACAAGGAGGGATTCTACAAGGGAAAGATGGTACACGGCGACTTTAGCGGAAAGACTGTCGAAGAAGCGAAGCCGCTCGTTCGCAAGCAGCTCATCGAGGCCGGTGACGCCTTCCCGTACGCTGAACCCGACGGCAAGGTCATGAGCCGAAGTGGTGACGACTGTGTTGCAGCTCTTCTCGACCAATGGTACATGAACTACGGCACAGCAGCGAATGGCGGAGACGGCGAGTGGGCTGAAAAGGTTCGCTCACACATCGAGGGCGAACTCAACCTCTACTACCCTGAGGCGAAGAACCAATTCCTCCGAGTTGTCGACTGGCTCAGCATCTGGGCGTGTGCTCGCTCCTATGGTCTCGGCACCAAGGTACCCTGGGATCCAAGCGTGATGGTTGAGAGTTTGTCCGACAGCACAATCTACCAGGCCTACTACTCTTTTGCCCATCTTCTACACAAGGACATGTTCGGAAAGGAGCCCGGTCCCCTCGGCGTCAAGCCCGATCAGCTCACCGACGAAGCTTGGGATTACGTATTTGCTCTGCGCGACCGCTCTGATGTCCCACAATCCGAGATCCCCACAAAGACCCTACAAACTATGCGACGACACTTCGACTACTGGTACCCGCTCGACATGCGCACCAGTGGTAAGGATCTAATCCAGAACCATCTGACATTCAACCTCTACGTACATACCGCCATCTTCCCGAAGGAGAACTGGCCGCGCAGCTTCCGTGTCAACGGTCACTTGCTACTGAACGGCGACAAGATGAGCAAGTCTACCGGTAACTTCCTGACCATCGCTGGTGCTGTCGAGAAGTTTGGTGCCGACGCCACACGCATTGCCCTTGCCGACGCAGGAGACGAGATCACAGACGCCAACTTTGAAGAGACGGTCGCGAACGCCAACATCCTGAAGTTGTTTGAGCTCCGCAAATGGTGCGAGGACCTGATGAACGAGGCTATCTACGTTCCGGACGCTGCCGCATACATGGAGAAGAGAACGTCGGGATCGGTCAAGAACCCAGACGTCATCCAGCGACAGAGCGGCAGCGAGCATCTTCTTTTCGACAGGATGTTCGATAACGAGATGAACGTTTTGATCCACGAGGCTTTCGGACACTACTCCAACACATTCTACAAGCTCGCCCTCAAGTCCGGATTCTACGACTTCACCAGCGCGCGCGACTTCTACCGTGAGGCTACCAAGGCAGCAGGCATCGGCATGCACCAAGACCTCGTCAAGAAATTCGTCGAGCTCCAAGCCCTCCTCCTTACCCCCATCGCACCTCACTGGTCAGAATACATCTGGCTCGAGGTCCTCAAGAACAAGGAAACCGTCCAGAAAGCCCTATGGCCCAAGGTTCCCGAGCCCAACGCGTCGCTCACAGCCGCCCGAGAGTTCGTCCGCCAAACACAGACGAACATCACATCAGCAGAGGGCAACGCCATCAAGAAGCTGTCCAAGGGCAAAGCAGCTACTTTCGACCCCAAGAAAGAGAAGAAGATCATCATCTTCTCTGCGAAGGAATGGCCCGCTTGGCAGAAGAAATACATCGACATGGTCCGCGACGCCGACACCCTCGACATCAAAGCCATCAGCAAATCCATCGACAAGTCCGAGTCCAAGAAAGCCATGCCTTTCATCAACGGTCTCAAGCGCCGTCTCGATAACGGCGAGCCCAAGGATGTCGTCCTCAACCGCGAACTCGCGTTCGATGAGCTGGACACGCTACGTGCTATGGTGCCTGGATTGAAGCAGACTGTTCAGAAGTGTGTTGATGTCGAGATCGTCACTGTTGGTGAAGGCGGCAAGGATGGTACTGTCATCAAGGAAGATGGCAGTAAGGGTGAGGCACGGTCGGAGCTTCCACCGCAGGCTGCTACTGCTGAGCCGGGGTATCCGAGCTTCGCTTTTGAGAATGTCGAGAATATGCCTGTGCGATAGGGGTTGGTGGGCTTAAGAGGTGGACTGGATTCTGGGTGTTGGGTTGGGTTGGGCGCACGCTTTCATGTAACGACACGATATGATTGATGTGCATGGATGATAGGATGGATGGATAGTAGATAGACGTCGTGTGATATGACCCTTGAGAAGGGTTCTGGTCGAAGCAAAAGCCACAGAAATACCAGAAGACATTGTACCCACCCCACTGATGTCTTGCTCCTTGCACATTGTTTGCGTCTTTGATGTTGTGACATGGTGACTGACCATGAACTGGTACTCCATTGTAAATTATAACGATCACACTTTTGATCCGAAATTATATCCACCTACATGCCCAAGGCTCCTGCTAACCCCACCTACAACTTCGCCCTCGCATCATCAACGCGGTTACCCTGCTGATCAAAAAAGATCTTCCTCCCACTCCTCAAACTATCCTGCAACGCAACCCCAATCTTAACCGCCTCCATGCTACTCTGCAAATCCACCGGCACCTCACCCCCCTCAAGCACCGCATCCGTAAACTGCCTCGCCTCCTC